CAACATGACATATGTTATTCATCAACGCTTCGACAACTACTGTTCGATCGGATGATTAAAGAGATTCTCTTTCCCAACCCCAAATTCACTTATTTTTTGTTTTTTCTGCCATACATATGCTTCTAGTTGTCGTCTATCTATTGAGCACATTTAAAAGATTCAAATTTAGCTTTAAAGTTGAGAAAAACGAAAAAATATAACGTTTCTTCTGTGAAAGTTGTTATACTTTTTTCGTTCTTTCAAGCTTTTTCAAACGCAGATATTGACGAAAAAATCTTGATAATCGTCTTCGTTTCTTAAAGACGATACAACTGATTATGTTGAAATCTTTTTTTTTTTACAGATATTGAAAGTGCTTTGGTATGGCTAATTCTTTTTATTTAAAAAATTCATGAACCGTTAGTTCTTGGAAAAGGTCTTACACAGTAAGCACTGTACAAAAGAATAGGTAGTTTTTCACATGCTCTTCGTGTGTTGACTGTTTTCGAAATGGACGAAACAGAAAGAAACTAGGCACCCGTAAGTGTTTCTAGTATCCGTCAAAAAGTCTTCAACCCTATTGGACGTATTGTGGCTCAAAAAGGGGACGAAAAAGGGGATTGTTATTGGTCCTTGCAACCCAACTATCTCTTATAGGAAAGTATTTCGAGATTTTCAGTCTGTGGCAACTCTTGTTATACTCATGAAGTTATATCCATCTTGATATTTTCAGAATATTCCGCTAAATCGTTCTCAAACAATACCGGAAATGGGGTCTCCTAAGTTTAATATACATACAGTATACTCATTATTTTTTCTCACTGTGGGAATTTGTTTTCTTCGTCGTCTGAGCTGATCTCACTACTTCGTTAACTATGTCTTGTTCTCATAGTCTTGATTCTCCCATTTCTTTTTTTCGTGATACATCTATCTCTTCTATATGTTCGTGGCTTTGTTAGACGTACATACAGTATTCTCTTCGTCATTTATATTGTATTGTGTTCTCTTTAATATTCATAAGTATAGTAAACATTGTCTTTTTATCCAAATCAAAATAAAAACCATATCAATTTTTTTTTCATTGCTTACAGAACAATCATTCTTGTATGTTATAGAGACCTCTCATACAGTCGACGTAAAACTTTACCTCCACCGATAAGTAATACAAAAATAAAAGTCATCTTGAACTAGGTTGCTCATTGGATAATCCAATGGGTCAGGGTTGGAGCTACTTAATCCAAGCTTATGACCCATGGACTGTAAAAAAATATAGAATTGGACAAGAAACCACCCGGAGAGCCATTGGCTGGGCTATGGGTGAACCATGGATTGATCAAAAAACAATATCCGGCATCTCTGTTGCATTCAAATAGTAAAATCAGTCTGGCAAGTAAAAAATACAATAATTGATCTACTATATTTAAGTTTTTAGTCAAGATGCATAAGCTATGCAAGACCATGCATTTCGTGGTTTTCTTGCGTTATATAACATGCTAAGGAAGACCCTTTGCTGTAATGCTGAAGAGTGATAATTTTTAGTTGATTTGACACTATCGTAAAACTTATCTATTATGAACATCTTCGAAACTTTTCAAAACTCTTCAATATACGGAAGTGTTCACTTAACACAGGTAACATACGGTTCGCTTTATAATGAAGAGGGACTTCGAAAATACTTGTTCGTGTTTATAGTTGAATCTAATAGTGACTTTGCAACCCAAATTAAGAAGTACATGCCGATTCTGGCAGAGAAACTCTGGAAATCGCTGGAACATGGAAGCAGTATTTCGGCTGGGAATTTTCAGATTTATTCCGACGATTTCCGGTCAGTTTCTGCCGAGAAGCACAGGAAATTGGAAAGAATTCACCAGAACAAATTCGGACAATTCTCAGCCGGAATACTGCTTCCATGTTTTAGCGATTTTTGGTGTTTTTCTGCAGGACTCGGTGACTTTTCCGCATCTTTCCTGCGGGATCCGGTGACCGAAATCTTTGATCTGGTAAATACAAGTTTCTTCTTTTTAATTTGTATTGGTGATTAGCACACTCGATAGATCTCTCAGGCAAACTTGATGATAGTCTTGTAATAATCAAGTTTTGATTAAATTTTACATTTGACGAAAATTCATCTCATGAAATACTTTTGGACCCGAACCCAAGAAAAACCAAATTTTGGAACCGGATTCGGACCGGAACCGACCGAATCCAGTTCCAAGTCTACTCGACGGGCTCTATTGACGACCACAAAAACTTATCATATATATATAATACACTCATAATACATACAAGAAACAAGAGATAAAGAATAGACAAAGATCACAAAAATATTGTAGATTTGTGCATATCGGAGAGGTTATAATAGTAAGAGGAACTCCAAAAGCGTGTTCACTGTTCAGAATAGCGAGCTTTTATTCACATTAGAGAAAGGTATTTCAAGCACAACTGCTTCATAAGATCTGAGTGTTTATAACTACTATTGGAGTTTTAAGAAAAGGCATTCAGGTAAAATGCTTATAACTTTACAGCTAATTAGAATCCTGTGATCTTCATTATTTGAAGAAGGGACTGTGGGACATTATCGCTCCCTTCTTTCGAATAATGAAGATCACAGGATTCTAGCTGTCTTAGTTAAAAAGTTACAAGCATTTTGTCCGGTTGCCTTTTTTTAAAAATTCCAATGGTAGAAGATATTTACTAGAAGAGGTTTTACTGGATTAAAATAGTAACATATTGAATTTGAATCCTTAGTTCTATTCAATATTCTGGCAGATACAAAGACAATAAGTGATAAGATTTGTGTATATGTATACGATAATTCAATAGATTATTTCATAGATATAATTTGCGTTTGAAATGTAAAATATCTTTATAATTGTAGCTTAGATCCCTATTCTTCGTCGACGACATTTTATTACCGATCTAAAGTGATTCTTATTTTTATCAAGCAAATATCGTTTCTTTCAAAACTACAAATATCAACTTAAAGTCTTTTAATTTGAAAAATATTTTTTTAGACGTCTGTTTTAAATTTTTTCATGTATGTTTAATAGAATTAATTGTTTTTGAACAATTTTATCATCAAGACCTCTTTCTATAGCAAGGGTGTGGGTGGGTGTGAGTGTGAGGGTGGGTGTGGGTGTGGAAATATACTCTCGTCACACCCACACCCTTTTGATCAATCCAAATACAATAATGCACCTGTTGTTGTGTTTCAGAATCAAGAGGGCCCAAGCTGAATTATACATATGTTATGCAGTATTTTTTTCTCTACAAAATGGTGGACTCGATGCAAAACGTGGCTTACACCTCCTAATTTTTGATGATTTTTCAATAGAAAATGAACATTTTTAGCAGTATTCATTGGCATGACAAAGTGCTGAAGCAAAATAAATATGATATTCTAAATCAGCATCAAAAACTGCATCTATTCATATACTTTTCATCGAAAATTTTTTTCTGTCCAAAACTAGCCGGTAGGGAATCAGAAAGAAAAATTTCTCTTAAATATGACTGTGGGAGATCACAGGCTAGTTTTGGACAGGAAGAAATTTTCGATGAAAAGTATATGAATAGATGCAGTTTTTGATGCTGATTTAGAATATCATATTTATTTTGCTTCAACACTTTGTCATGCCAATGAATACTGCTAAAAATGTTCACTTTCTATTGAAAAATCATCAAAAATTAGGAGGTGTAAGCCACGTTTTGCATCGAGTCCACCATTTTGTAGAGAAAAAAAAACTGCATAACATATGTAAAATTTAGCTTGGGTCCTCTTGATTCTGAAACACAGTAGCAGATACATTATTGTACTTGGATTGATCAAAAGGGTTCTTTTTTAACTCATGTTGACTTTATAAAACGTGAGTTGCTCAACATTATGTTACTTCCATGCAGCTCATTTTGTTCAATTTTTAATTCTCTATCTTTTAGTATATACCATAAAAAATTTCAATGATACGTTGAAACACAAGCTGCCACAGCCTTTATAGAGTATTTTTTCTTTTTTTTTCTGAAAAAGGTATGATAGTGGCAAAAGTCGGTATTGGCTAACTTTTCAAAGGAAAGATACTAGAAGCTAAAATTTTGAGGTTGGTGGTTTTAGACATTAATTCGTTGAATGCAGAAAAAAAAATTTTTATCGAGTACCTCGTATATTGGACTGATGCTCGATCAGCTCATGAACCCTCTATTAAAGGTAATCAAAACTTATTTACACATGAAGAAAATTGGGATGGAAAAATTTTAGTCCATAGGTGCTCAAAAATTCAACTTATTGATGCACAAAAGGCGTTTGTCGATTGAAATAACTTTTTAACCACTTTTATACATAAGTATGGCAAAATCGAACAGAAAAATGGATAAAAAAAGGAGAAAAACAGGGAAAAGTAAAAAAAAAAAACTATAAAAACATAACTTTTTGTGCGTTTTTGAAGAAAGAGAAGGAAACGCATAAAAATCGACTAATAGTCTCTATTTTTGTTAAGAAAAGGTCAAAAGTTGATACATCTATTTGACTGGATAGTGCCATTGAATGTTTAATATTTCATTTTATCGCATTGAATCCAAGTTCTATTTTTTAAACATTGATGAATTTCATTCATCAAAATTTTGATCGAGATTCATAATGAAAAAGCTAAATTGGAAGACTATTTTCGTGAATGTGATTGCTGATTAACACGTAGCAACAAAAATAGTAATGTAAAATAATACAGAGCAGAAAAAAAACAAGTAAGAGTATCGTTTTCTTTTTCACTTCGTTCGTTATATTTTGATGGATGGCGAAATACTTTTTAGTTACGGACGAATGATTTTTTTTTTGTATGCTTGCTTCTTTTCATCCTTCACGTAGTTTGTTGAAGAAAAGTGTATCGATAGATAAATTGTCCTGTCCCATTGCTCGCTCGTCATTCATACGCTGATATATAGTGAATAAACATACATTACTTCACATAATTCAATTAAACCGTTAATCAACGATACTTTTCATAGAAAATATTAAATATTCATAGTTTTCTAACATGTCAAAAACTGCATCATCTCATGAAAATCTAGCCAATTCTCGATATACCGACATAATTGGAGAACCCGTTGCACGCCTTCTTTCACCAATTAAAGGTTATGAAGCTGCACCACTTGTACCTCTCGAAGAAGCTGTGGTTCCTATTGGAAAATTTTTCGATTGTATCGAAGAAAATGTATGGATTGCAAAAGAGAATTCTAAAAATTCACCAGATGGTCTCAGTCAAGATGAATCTGCAGCACTTCATTTGTATACGATGCAGTTTGATTCAGATCCTAGTTTCTATCAACTTCTTAATTCGACACTTCGAGGTGAAAATCGTGATAATCTCAAACCATGGTTCTCCTATCTCAAATTATTTATGACTGCTCTTCACAAACTTCCATCTCACTCTCAGACCATTTGGCGTGGTGTGCGCGGTATCGATTTAAGTAAGCAATACCCAACTGGAAGCAAATTTGCATGGTGGGGTGTAAGCTCGTGTACAGCTAATGTTGAAGTTCTTCAGGCAGAAACATTTTTAGGCAAAACAGGCATGAGAACTTTATTCTCTATTGAAAGTCAAAATGGAAAATCCGTTGCTCCACATTCATATTTCAAAGACACAGAAAAAGAAATTGTACTTATGCCAGGTTCATATTTTGAAGTGATTGGACAATTGAATCCAGCAGACGATCTGTATATTATTCAAATGAAAGAATTAGCACCACCATTTCCATTTGTTAAACCACCATTTAAAAAGGAATTACAGGCAACAAATGTGCCAAAGTCTCTTGATAATGTCACATCATCACCAACAGGTAATTCACTTCCACTATCGTTGTAAAATATTCTACATTTGATCAAATATGTTAGATAATTCATCAATGCCAAAAGTTAGCTCAAATGAAAGTGCAAGCTCCACAACAACAATGTCAGAAGTTAAGGAAACGTCACTACCTCCTAAACCATCCAGTGAGTATGAAAAGCTTCATGAAATTGCATGAATATCATCTCATTTAGACAGTAACTTGTTAATATGCAGATACAAATGATTTTAAAACATTCGAATTTAACAGTTTTAAATTAATATTAAACTTTTCTTTATAGAACCACGCATTTTCTCCTCGACTTTACCATCTCCAATGCAAGAAGCTATAATTAATATTATTCGAGAAGCTATTGCGGAAGGAACAGACGAACAAGACATCGAATCAATAATTACGAGTGAACTTATTCAACGCTATGGTGGAACTTGGTGGGTTCACATAACTCCCACGCCAGATACTTACACCATGTTGGTACCAAGACCCTTCTTATCGGTAAAAATTGACAAGTATAATTTTTCCATTCGTCAGAAATAACTAAATATTTAATTTATTTGTATTGTAATCATGAACTTTTAACAAATAAAAACGTACATTTTCGAAAAAGGATATGGATGTTGTTAGGTGTTCGTGAACCAGTTATCCGCCACCATCTTCAAACTTACACCAACATCTCATATCTGTATTATCATAGAAGATACTTTGCTTCTAAAATATTTCAACTCCATCAGCAGCATCAATACAGTTTATAGTCTTAGTATTATCTTGATAAAACGATTTTTGTGTACACTCTCCATTATGACATTGATATTCATTATCATTGCATTCATTTATTTCTAGTTGCCAGCAATTTTCTTCATCAAAATTGCCATCGATAAAATGTAATCTTCCTTAATACATTTCTTCTCAATGTCAGCAGGCTGCAAAATGACCATAATTTCATTGTAAATGAGTATAACAAGTCAAATTAGTAGGCCTATATAAATATATTTGGTTTAATAAGCATGAATAATTTCATTAAAAGTTGAAGGATTTTTCGGATAACACCTGGATTCTTATATAAACATAGAGCCAAACCTTGGCAATATACGATTGTAGAGAACTGATGTTTCCAGAGATAGATCATTTTATTCTAATAATTGATTTAAATAGAATTGATAATATTCAACAACATTGCTAGGTGCTGATTAAAGTTGTGATTGTTGAATAGAAATATTCTGTTTAGAAATTTTAGCGAAAGCAAACTTTGGCATACTATGATTTATATCGATATGAAACTTCGATAATGATTCATTCATACACTAATATATTATTTCACGACTAACATTTGAGGGTGTGGGTGTGGGGTGTGGGTCAGTTAAGAGAAGATCAACACCCATATGCATCCACACCCGCACCCCCATCATACAGCAGCATTTAAAATAGCATCTTTCGATCCACACGCCGCATATTGTGTGTTCGTTTACCATGTGTTTAACACGATGATATCTTTTCCGTAGAGAGTTAGTGATGCTTAGGTCGCGTTATTTGTTTACTTTTCATGTCTTGCTTCTTTGTTCAGTTATTCTAGCGATTCCTGCGTATTCTATAATGTAAATCTAATTTGAAAGTCAACTTGAAATTTTTCTTTCTTCACTGAGTCATTCTTTCAATTCTGGTGGATCTTATAAGAGAATTAAAGGCAGATATGAAATTCAGTTTTCTTTTCTTCATTGAGTTATCCCGGTAGTTGCCTAAAGATTTTCTAGAGATAGCTCCTTAGCATTAGTATTGCCTCAACTAATGCTATTTTTCATACTTTTGTATTAGAATTAAGAAAATAATTTAATACTTTCTTTATCAATATTAAAAAAGTACTTTAATCCTTTGGTATTAGTATTATATGAAAACTTCATTATTATATACTAATGCGCCCGAACAATCTATTAAATAATTCCAATTTTAAATCAATACTAATACCAAAGTATTAAATCATATTTTAACACTATTACAAAAGCATTAAAATAGTTTCTTAATTCTAATACAAAAGTGGTATTATTTTCTAATACTTATGCTATGCCTATCTCTAAATTTTCCCGACAGCAATGGAATGCGTAAACGCACTTTCCTTTTTTTTCCTTGATTTAGCTATTCTGCGTATTTCAAACCAGTCACTGAGAAAACCTAGAAAGTTTGTTTACTTTAATTTTTTTCTCTCTTTGTTTAGTTTTCCTGACACATCTAGCGCTTTTTATTCGAGAAATTCAATCAGAACATTAGTTCTATTCTTGTTTCCTTGATTTATTTACTCTTGTGATTGTGTGTTGTCCTACGGGAGGTTAGCATAGGTTGGTTTCGGATAATTTTCCTCTTTCATCACGTAGTTATGCCCGGAGTGATCCCTCACTGTATCAAAAAAATCCAATTAGTTAGTTTAGTTTGCTTTTCTTCGATTAATTACTTTAATACTTTCTCCGCTTCTTACCAGAAAAACGAAAAAAGATAGTTCAGTTTACTTTTTTTTCCTTTACTTATCCAGATAGCTGTCGGAGATTTTATAGAAGCAATAAAATGAGAAAACATACTTTCCTTTTCATTTTGTCATTTAGTTGTCATCAATATCAGTAGTATGCGTCATTTTCTAAGAAACCCCGAATCGGTTGGTTTAGTTTGATTTTCTCCTTTGCCTTTTAGCTACCCCTATATTGATCGCGAATTTAATGAAAAATATAAAATAATTGAGCCTAGAGGCCCTTTTTTCCTATTAACAATGTCCGTACTTTCTCTGGATGGTCTGAGAGAAATGGAGAGAGCTAGTTCAGCTTTCATTTTCTGCTCATTTTTTCAGGTATCCTTATAGGTCTTGCACTTTTTACAATGAAAATGTAATTACAAAACTAAATTCACTTTGGTTTCTTCATTTAGTCTCCGTATCAGTTCTGGGTGTTTTTTAGAGCATTAGAATAAGATCAGTGGCTTTAGTTTTCTTTTTCTCATTTAGTTATCAGATAGTAGTTGAGCATCATATTGAAGGAAAGCGAATAGATTGGTTTTGTTTTGCTCTATTAATTTCGACAATAATTTTCTGCGTCTTACGAGAAAAATCGAATAAATTAGTTTGGCTTAATTCTCCCCCCCCCCCCCTTTATTTCTGGTGTATTTGTCCAGCATTTTACGAGAAGAATGCAACAAGTTAGTTTACGTGTGTTTTCCTTCTGTGATTTGATTCTCTGATAGTTATTGAGGTTTTTATGCAGGAAAATAGAACAATAAAATTCACTTTATTTTTATTTTCGTGTTCGTTGTACTGAATATTCTTTTGTGCTATATCTATGATCGTTCTTTTCTATGTAGACTAGGTTAGAGAATAATTTGTTTCAAAACATCGGCTCATCCGTTTGTACTCCTTTATTTGTCCAAGGATCACTAACATGTATGGAAAAATGACGAAACTCAGAACTCTAAAGTTGAGAAATTGAGGCCGTACGGTGTCATCAGTATGATTGCAAGTTATCAAAATTGGATGAAAATTTAAAGAGACTCATATACTGTCTGTCAATATTTTTTTGTTTGAAAGACACTATAGAAATACAGAACAAATAAAATATATTTTCTTTTGAAACTTGCAAAGGCTACAAGTTTGTGATACATTACCAATGGACAGCTTGTGGTTTTATTCATTTGTTGATGAAAAATAATTGAATATGATAATAAACGTTATTAGTGTTATTTTTACTTAATATTCGTATCGGATTGTTGTTACTAGTGTTAAAGTAAAGATTTCTTTGTGGCACAAGTTCTATACAAAAATATGAAAAATAATGTAAGGTTCCTATTTCAGGTTTAGTGGAAATATAATTAAGAATCAATAAAGAAAAGAAGATAATTTCGAAAGAAACACTGTAATGTTTTGCTTTTCGACACTGAGAGAAGCGCACACTTGTGTAATTCAGTTGAATGCGATCATTTAAGACGCCCAACGTAGATGGAATTACGAGAAAACTTTAAGAAACATCAAACGAAATTTTAGCAAGCTCATATTCTTTTCACTTGAATTGTTCAACACTTAGGCATACAGTTTTCTGTGTTGACTTTTGAAACGTTGCGTTTTGTGTCATCAACGGCAAAGAATATTTCTCAATGAAGAGTAAATTGAAGTTTAAGTGAAGTTCAGATGAAATGTAGCCTCGGTCATTATTCATATATATCGTATTTCATGGAGATCAACTGTAAGAAGTTCAGCATGAAAGTTACACGGATCCAGTAGCTTCCTTAACAGAAAATAACTTCAAATGGCTGGAATGATTGTAAAAAATCTCCCAAAAAAAAATTATGGATGTCACGAATAAAATTCAGCATAATTAAAAAAAAGTGATGCATTGGTCAATTCTTTAACGGACTTTTTTGCATAAGGGGATACAGCTACTCAAATATATCGTGTGCAAATACATTCTCTTTCCGAAAGAAAGATGAAGAGAAAGAATACTCATCGATTAATTTACTATTTGGTGCCTGTGGACGACTAATGTAGATCTAAAAAACATGCTGAACTTCGTTAAAGAATAATACATACAGAAATGCAAAGTATTTACTTTCTACTTTTTGAAATGGAAATCGATCGCATAATATAGACCCGAAAATAGTAGAGGTATAAATAATGCTTCTATGGCAATTTCCTGTTATTCATGCTCCTTTTCCTTTCTTGCTTTCCTTTCTTGCTCGCTGTACCAACATGTTCAAGTCTTTTTCTCATCATCACTTCAAGGAAAGAACAGTCATACGAGACTCTTAACAAAAACATCACATTGTTTGTTCACAACCATCATAGTTTTTCTCCTACAATAACTTTCTTTGAGTTACTGTATTGATAGAAACATAGTTTTCATTATTACAGCCTGTGCAATCAATCCTTGTTCGGCAAGGATGACAAACAAAAAAGACTTATAGTCGCATGCTTTCCTTTCAGAATGTGTAACGATTTTTGCTTTTTTTTCTCTCAGAGTCGATCACTAATGCGCAAATAGGTAAACTACATAAGTAAAATTTTTATTCCCCATGTCAATTCGAGCGATAGAGAAAAAATCTATCGATGTCTTCATCATAAAGTAAATATAGCGCAACTTTATCATGAAAAATAACGATGTTTGATCTATCGGTTGGTGTGTGTGTTCTACTCTCGGAAAAAATTCTGGGAAAAGGATTGTTTTTTCAGCCAATTGAATGTAATTAAACATGAAAAGCATCAGAAAAAAAGTATAAGAATATTTTATACCCTAGCAGTTTTTTACTCGGAAAAAAAGAAGGAAATTCACTTCAATCAACAGTGTGTATAGGTGTAACCCATAACAGCAAAATTATCGTTGGTAAGTATTACTTGAAACGTACCGTCATACAGTGCTATGAAAATGTGGCTTGTTTTATCCGATCTGCTGCTTTCAAAAGAAATTTAGGTAGTCTATAGTCTATTCATATCAGCTTTCTAACCCTTTCTAACTATCCACTTCTAAAGTTTCTCGCAAGGGGAACAAATTGATTTCATGATTTCTTGATTTCATATGATTTCATATGATTTCAGGTGATTTCATGTGATTTCAAACTGATTTCAGGTGATTTCAGGTGATTTCAAACCGATCTCAGGTGATTTCAAACTGACTTCAGGTGATTTCTGGTGATTTCAAACTGATTTCAGGAGATTTCAAACTGATTTCAGCGATCGAAATCAGTTTGTTCCCCCTTGGTTTCTCTTTATCGCTTTCTTACATCGTTGATCATTCATTTTTCCTACCACTATTCTCACCTCCTTACCTTCTTCGTTAACCACTGTTATCTACGATGAGAGACCCTTCTGTCTTTTCCTATGATGAGTTCGAAAATTATCATCTCCAGTTTCTCTGTAGCAATAGAGATACCGATGATATAGCTTATAGAAACTTTTAGAACCTGGTAACTTCTATTTTCTCTCAGCTTGTTGGATGAGAGAGACACAGTAACAAGCTATATTTGAGATAGTTCATTGGTCGTCCGTAGATAGATAAATAAGAAAACCCAATACCATTTTTCTCTGCACCAAATCGAACAAAGTGACCGATGCGGAGAGAAATACATAAATAACTTCATTGTGAAAAAAAACAACTCGTTAGAGTGTGGGTGTGGATATCTTCTCATTACCCACACCCACACCCCGCACCCACCCACACCCCACACCCACACCTACACTCCACACCCACGCTCACCCACACCCACACCCAAGCCATCTAATCTTTTAATATGTGTTAACTAACAATTCAAATCATCATCTGTTAACGGGTGATATCGGTCTAACTGATCGAAAATAAAACGTCTCTCCTATTTTCCAAATGGGCACAACATATATAGTGAACGCGTGAAGAGAAAACCATAAAGACAATAGGAAAGAAACATGAACGAGAGGGAAAATACCTGAACAACATCAAGAGACAAGAGAAATATCCAAATAGCAGAAAGAAAAGAAAAAGAAGGTATATATGTATATCGTACATCTCATTTATACGATAGTAGAACAAAGGAAACAAAATGAAGAAATATCCGACATAGGAGAATCACGTGATAACATCATCGATGAAAATATTCTGTTTTCAGATTATATAAATGGCTACAACAAATGAAAAAACGATCCATGAGTATCAGTATTGTCGCAAAAGACAAAAAACGCAAAACTTCAGTGGATATATTTGGCCAACTATCGAGAGACATTACAAATTTTACTCTTTAGTTGATAACCTAGCGACATTTCAGAAACAAGGCATACTGTATTCATTTAAAGATTCTACGCCAGAATGTGAAACTCTGCGCCGTAATGACTATCTAGTAAAGTTAGCAAATGCAATGGCATATTTTGGCGAACAATATATTATTGAAAGTTTGAACGACTACTGCAAACAACACATAAATGCACCCGCAACAGAAACACAACCAGCTTATTCAGTACCATCATTTGCACGATGGACGGACGTTACGGACTATATCGGCAACCGTAACAGTCCACGTATACCCGCATGGGAATGCGAGAAAAAGCAGCGTGTCTATGGACGAATTCGTATTATCGCTGAAGAGAAAGGCATATCTTCCCGGCAGTGGAACACTCTTACATTACGGTATCAAGAGAGAAATCAAATGTGCCATCCAACTGCAAATACAGCAGATGCAGAGAGTATAAAAGAATATGCTGAGCTTATAGATAATCCGGCAGAAAGCGAAGGTGTAAAGATTTTGTCCGATTTAGTTAAGAGGGCACTTGGGGAAAGAAGAAGAACGCGGCCTTAATCACACAGTTGTTTGCATGCTTAAATCAGTTTCATTTGCTTCACATTTTGTTTTTATGAGGGTATGACGTGTGACGTACTATAATGCTGTTGTTTTTATTTGCCCGAGTCTTCTCATCTTTTGCTGACTTTTTTTTATCTTGCTTGTAATTTCAGAAATTTGCTACATATAGTATTAGATATTGCATTTTACTTGCGTAACATTCTTAATGTGTTGCAATTATGTTTTTCTACTACACGAGCACAAGTTCCGCATAGTATTAGTACATACAGGTTTTTCTTCTTTAATATTGCACTCATTTTCATTTAGCTTGTATGTTTTCTCACTGTGCATTGTTTCATGAAAGCTAATTTAAGAAAAAAACTCGCTTCTCATCGCTTTTTTTCTGCATGTTTTCTTGTAGTTACGTGAACTACCATGTAGTATAGACTTTATAAAACCGCAACCTTGAAATATTGTATCCTTGAAATTTTTGTTTGTCAGAAAGATACTTCAAAATGACTCCCGTTTAATTTAATTTTTTGTTATTCTAGATACGAAAATGTCTAAATCGACAGCAAAGCGACTGGTACTAAGTCGTATTGATGTACTACCTAATGAAAAATGTGGTAATCACCATAGGTACGTCACAAGACAGTCCTATAAACGATCATATCCTTACTCACCAGACGATGTTGAAGATCAAATCATAACACATTGTTTACAATATTCTCAACGTAAACCGCAGTACGATATATGGAAACGTGCACCACAAGTTCACTATGGAAGAACACAATCAGTGTATTTAAGATCAACTGCGGCAAAACCGAACGTAAAAGTGGAAGAATATATTCTACCTACTATAGCAAAGTCTTCAGAAAATCCATGTAGTACAAGTTCAGAAAATGAATCTCGAAGTGCAGGGTGCCTATCAGATACCTTTGTTGGCAGAATAACGAGAGATGAAATCGTCAGAAAGCTATCCATTTGTTTATCATTTTATGGGAATTTTGTCATTATTCCTGCTGTAAAAGAAACGCTTGACAAAATTGAAAAGTTGGATAAGAATGTAAAATTCAGTTATTGGCATGAAGTGATGACTTTTATCGACAGCTACGATCTTCCATATGCAAGTGAATCCAGAAAGAAATTGGTTGATGAATTGGTGGAAAAAATTACTGAATGTGTGAAAAACAAAGGTATATCAAAACATGATTGGCAAAATATAATATGTACATTACCTGACGATGTTAGCAGCAAATTTGATCACCGGTTAGAGGATACTATTATGAAAGAAATGGCAACCCTTGCGGAACGAGATCAACTTCCATTTAATTTAAGTGGACCAATTACCCAATTATTACAGTCAGCTAAAAAACACGCTGAAAAATATATTCGAAACAGTAACAGCTAATGGGTGGTTTGTTTACAGGAATGTGAAAATAATTTTTCGTTTTGCACTTAATTAAGTTCGATTCACAGTAATTTTACAATTTAACCTGCTTCTCTGCCTTATACATATATTTTTCGGTTTGGTCCCACTTCATCGAAAAACTAAGACCAATTAGCTATTTTTCCCATTTCATCGACACTTTTTTTTTTCCTATTTCATCGACAAAATTTTTTTCCCACTTCATCGAAACTTTCTATTCAATAGTATTTATTTGAAGAAAAATAATTATGCAGAAATTAACAAGAAGAGAAATAAGAAATGATGAGAGAATAAATAAGTCCTATATCAAACAATAACAAGAATTTATTGTGATTTTTTACCAATCGTTTGACTAATTTTATCGAAATATTCAGTTAATGGCAAACGACCTTCTTCATAACGGTTCATCAAATCAATAATTCGTTGGTTTCGATGAACAAATTTTGGATTTCGTCGAGGTTTGCTTGTACTACTAGTAAGTTGTTTGATTGTGGCCATGTTGAAGGCATAATCTCGTTTTAATTCATCAATAACTTGATATAAATTTGGATTCGAACTGTTAATATTTGAATTAAGTCGATGATGCCATCCTTCACAACCATTATTAGTTCTGGCACCATTGAATTTGTAATAATTCCATAGACATCTTGGAAATAAACATCCATTTTTAATCCATGTTTCAGTAAAATAATCAAAGAAATCTTGTGAACGTGGTATATGTTCAAATTTATCCATAATTTTGCACCATAATTCATTGACCTCTTGAATAGGCATAAAAGCTAAAGCTCCAGTTCCTTGTACTAAACGTTTTACACTGGTTGGATCATCGTTCGATGAATTATAATAATCTTGTTGTAGTCCAATTTCTTGAATTTTTCTGAAAATACATTGGTTGTAGTAGAAATTACAACCTTTAATTTTTGAATTAGGAAATACATTTTTTAGAGCTGCAATTGCACCTTTCTCGAAGTCAATCGTAATGAATTTTGGATTTAAAACTAAATCATGTTGAAGAGTAATGGTTCTTAATTCATTTAATAATAATGTATAAATTGACTTGGTTTTTTTTTGGTAAAAAAGAATAAAGAACTGGTACTGTACCATTCGAAGCAGATGAATCAATATGAATGGTATATAGTTGGCCGAATACTGATGGGCATGATTTGAAAGTTCCATCCATGAACAAATGGTCAGCTGCACATAAATCTTGTAATGATTGTGCTGTACCAAAAGTAATGAATCGAGGATTATGGTGGTCGATAATAATAAAATCCTGGTTGTCTAATGACATACGCCATTTACCTAAAAAAATCAAATATATTTATTAAAAAACATTAAGCAATTTTTGTCATAATATAGCCTACCTTCAAGAACAAATTCATTAATAGATTCTGGAACACTTGGATAATTTTCATTCTTTGTCCGGTATAAAGAATTTTTTATTTGATGATACATAGGTAATTCACAAACATCATCCGGACTACTTGAATATCGTTTAATAAGTTCAGAACGATATATTTTTTTGATAGGTGTTTGTGTTTCACGTATACTTTTTTTCAGGCCTGTTTTAAATTGTTCGATTTCATTTCGTATTTTGTCCGGATCATGATTGTGTGGTGATGTGACAATAGGTAAATCATCACCTCTTTGGATAACACGTCCACGACAATCACCAATACGTTCACACCGCCAATAAGTAGTAGTATTACGAATTCGTTCACGATGATAACGATATTCATCAAATAATAAACATTGTTTACCTTTAGTAGTTTCAGTAACCGAAAACATATTGATTTGAATGTATATGTTATATCCACAGCACATGCATTTATATATGTTTTCGTACACAAAGAAAACAGAGAAAACAAAGAACGTAATGGAAACAAGCACATTATGTTTCTTCTAGTATATTCTACATGACTAATCTTATGTGTGAAGAACAATCATGTTCACTAATAGAAAGTGTTTATATGCCCTTTATGCTGATGATAACATTTATTTTAAAATTGTTGGATAGTGTCACCACGATCTACTCAATTTCTTTTTCCAAGAGAAGATTTCTTCATTAATATTCGAAAATTGTTCATTAACGAACTTGTCGATGAAATGGGAAAACGAATTTGTCGATGAAACGGGAAAAAAAAATTGTCGATGAAACGGCCTAATTAAGGAAGTGTCGATGAAACGGGAATATACCATATTTTTCTTTATGATATTCATAAATTGTGAAATATAAAAATTATTTATGACCATTCCTTTTGCTCATTTTATCGCGTTAACTCAGAGTTTGAGGGTGAGTTAAGCAAACTACGATGCATCTCGACCTTGCTTAAGGGCTTCATCAGGCAGTTTCGACTTTGTAACTATTTAAACTTGTGTTTGCTTCTCAAATGTTGTAGGTTGTCTGATGGCAGGCAAGATTTTTTTCGAAATCTTGTGAAATGGGAATCGGATTCATCAGGAATTTTTATTGCTCTTTGATGTTTTTTTTCTAGTTATTAGAATCTAGGCTTTTTTAGTGTAGTCTCAATGGTTTGCTTTAGGTTTCCATTTGGCGAAGAGTTGAAGGCAGATTCTTACTGAATTGAATTCGGACAGAACTGTTTATGTGTCAAGGGGAATTAATTTTGTATTAGCATTGTAGTTAGTAATAAAGAAGTGAATAGTTTTATCGATAAAGCAAAATGAATACATAGAAAATTCGAAGAACATTGTTGTTTGTTTTTTATTGTTTTTTGTGATCAGTATGGGTCCGGGTGTGGGTGTGGGTGTGGGGTGTGGGTGTGGGGTGTGGGTATGGGTGGGTGGGTGTGGGTGTGAATATGCGTGTGGATGTGGGTGTCGTTTTCTTTTAAGTGACACCCAACATCCACACCCCTTATGATGTATTCTTCGATGAATAGACTAACTATGGAGATGATTATTCAGATGATAATAATAATGATTTTACACCAATATTTGATTATGATAATGATTATGTACCAATATTTGATGTTGACAATGATTGCGCATCAATATTTGATGATAATAATGATTATGTACTACAGTGCGCGCCAACTCATTCCCCTCCCCCTTTCCGTTTTTGTCTTTTTTTATCACTAGACTTCTTTTGTTTATTAACCTCCTATATATAGGAAGAAAGCCCAAAAAGAGGTGCATCTTGTGATATATTTACATTGAACAACAAAAGCAGTTTGAAGTGTAAAAATTGTAATAGAAAAAAAAGTATCATTATTTTTATTACAATTTACATGCACATCTATTATTCGTTTCACACTAAAAGGAGAGTAAGTATTTTTGAAATAGCTTTTAATAGGAACAAGCCAGAGACTTGTAGTTTTAACCATTCGAAAGAGCTGATGAATCTACATTGAATCGAGAATACATCCTATTCCGCGATGTTGCACATTACGGGAATCCGTCCCGCCCCGAAATAAGTTCCATCAAATTCCGGGAACTCGAACATCATTAAAAAGATTCAGCTTACTCAAAAACAATCGAATTCCCTCAATTCTCGGAATTCTGGAATTGGACGGAATTCCAGAATCTGACGGAAATGGCCGGAATTTGACGGAATTCCTAGAAATTACGTCCAATTTCTCTTCGATCTAATTCCCGGAATTCCGTTCCGGAATCACTTTCCATCCTCACCCTCATGCTGAGCTACCTCGTTATAGATTAATCTCTAAAATAAGTTAGCGATTTCGGAAACTGATTCCCGACTGGAATAAGACGGAATTGCTTCCGATTCTTTTCGTGAACCCGTTCCCGGAATTCCAGAATCGGACGGAATTCCGAAATTCCAAGGAAATCCTAGGAATTGCGATTAGTTTAGAATGGAATCAATTCCGGGAATTGAGGGTGTGGGTGTGGGTGTTAGTCTTCTGATTCATATATCCACACCCACACCCAAAGTGTTAAAGTATGTTGCTTTAACTTTAACGTTAAAGTTAAAGTTAAACTCTTACCCAAGGGGGAAACAGCTGACTTATGACTTAAATGATCTAAGTGATCTAAATGATCTACGTGTGATCTTCGTGATCTAAATGACTTTAAAGTCATAAAAGTCAATTGTTTCCCTCTTGGATTCTGCTTATATTCACTGTAACTGTCGAGTTTCTGTTAGGCTACTGGAAGAAGGGAATAACTTTCTAAAAAGAATAAATTTTAAATTTTTTAAAATTTATATCTAAGAAATTCAATTTTTAAAATATTAAACACAATTTAAATCGACTAAATTCTTTTCTGTTGGATATTTAAATTTGAAAGAGTTTAAATTAAAAATATATCAAGAGGAGATCACACTCGTAATTTGATATGAGCAACAAAGAAATGATAATTTCTAATTCATTAGAATGGGAAACTGAAAATCTAATGTAATAAGTTTAAACAAGACTCTGAATGACAGTAGAATAAACACTTGTTCTATTAGATTATTTTAGTTGAATGGTTTGTACACATGTCTTCTACTCTTATGTTCTCGTGTTCGAATCCATATCTTGACTTTATTAAAATTCATGTAAGTTATAGTCCCAAAAATCTATCAAAAAAAATGTAAACGAATACATGAATTGTATCTGCAACTCAAGATACATGAAACAATTGACGGTTTTCAGTTTTTTTTTCCACCTAGGATATACGACACCATAGTTTGAAAAACGGTATGGAATGTTTAGAAAAAAAATCGTTCCACAGCGTCTGTTTTAGCACATGTAAAACGTGTCAAACCAGTCAGCATTAACGCGTTTCGCAATTATGGAAAAACGGGTTTTGAGAACGCGCTTTCGTTCGTAGACGATCACAACAAGTCCCAATATATATGAACATAGTACCAATTACAATCATTCATAGATTTATTGACACTAGTCCAAAGATTCTGTATTTCGTTTTTTTAATAAAAAATGAAAGATTTCTTTTGAGATTGACAAAATGATAATAAGACAGTAGTATAGAAACAAGTTGAAAAAAAAAGGAATGATAAATGAATTATGCAAGAAAAGAAGATTTTAAAAGTAAAAATCTTAAAATAAAAATCTAAAGAAATATCAAGTTATTTGAAACTTTTTGTTAACGACAACGTTTTCTTAACGATAGCAGGACTTCACTATGATGATCATTCGTATAGAGAAAAATCACTAGTATGAGTTTTCGAAGTGACTCTGAAGAAATAAACGATAATAATTTTTTTTTTACTTCTTTTGGTTGGTAGATGTTCTGTTATATGTGTACATCTATTGACCTAAAACAAAATCACTTTTCTTCGACTTTCCTTGCGTTTGACCTTTTACCCGCTCACTGAATAGGTCAAATATAGTGAAGAATAGGGAAATAGTTGCCACATCTATTTGTTCTTTCATTCGAACAAAATGAAACGAAAACTAGACAGCAATACATATTTCAAGGAAGTGATTAAAAATTCACGCGGTGAGTTCGAAATATATTCAATATTTTCCTTTATTATTTATCTTCACATTAACAGATAGAAAACGAAAATCAATAACTAGCATTGAACATTTATCAAATGATTTGTTTTATGAAATTTTTGATTATTTCGAAGGATTTGATTTGTATAATGCATTCTCAAATTTAAATATTCGTTTTCAAGATCTCCTTCAATGTATATATCTTCGATTAAAAATTCATTTTCCATTCCAAAGAGAATTTCATTTTCAATATCGTCTTCAAAATGTTATTATTCCAAATAAATCTCGAATTATTTCACTTTGTATAATTGAAATACGAAATAATGATGCTATTTTCTCATCGATGATTATTGATTCATCATTCAATCGTCTTGAATCTCTTATTCTTGGAAAGATTAAATTCAATATTCTTCTATCAGTTCTTCGAAGTTTATCTGTTTTATCTCGTCTTTTTTCATTAACAATAGTTGCTTCTGGTAACATTATCAATAATGATGATCCATACAATTTGATATTTAGTTTATCTACTTTAAAATATATTAAATTTTCATTCGAAACAATTCATCCACCAATGGAATTATGGACAAATAATAATTATCAATTAAATACACTTCAATATATGATTTTAGATCATTCATGTAATCTATCCACATTGTTACATATGCTCTCCTTTACACCTCAACTTCGTCATCTTTCTTATCGTTTTTTATATGAATTGAATCAATCTATTACAAACAACATTGAAATAACATTACCTAATTTAACTCATTTGTCATTTTATGAATGTCATTTATCATTTAATCACTTAGAAATCTTCATTAAAAAAATTTCTTCAACGAAATTACAAGTACTACGTTTAACAACTCGTAAAGATCGAGCTTATTTTAATGGTGATCGATGGAAACAATTAATTATACATTATATACCTCATTTACGTTTATTTCAATTTGAACATCAAGAGATCATTCATCACAATATCGGATTTACTACAAATCATGCACTTATACATCATTTTACTTCGATATTTTGGATAAAACCACGATGGAATATTAAATTTAATATCTTCGTAGATATTTTGTGGAAATTAAGTATTATTTTTTCGATTGATCCATCCAAGTAAATCTGTTCAAGTATCATTTCAATGAAAAATTTCTCGTTTTTTTTATTTTT